TCAACTCCCAGAATTCCTCAGCTAGCATCGCTGGCTGGGGAATTCTGGGAGTTGAAGTCCACACATCTTAAAGTTGCCAAGGTTGAGAAACACTGCATTCGTGTGAGCTTTGGAAACCACAGAGCAGAGGTTGGCAGCAGGGCTCCCCCTCTCCAGGGGGTCCACAGACTTCCAAAACCAAATAAAAATGAATATCTGGCAGAACATTCACAAGACCAGGCAATCTCGGGAGCGTTGGGTGCTCTCACGTGAGAAAATCAAAACTTTGCAAAGTAAGGCTGAAATTGCACAAGATTGGGCAACTGTCGGGCAGCCTCTTGGGGTTGAGGTCTTCCAGGAGTTCAAATAATTAGATGAAATGAAGAGGGTGCCCGTGCCACCATGCCAAGCTGAGAAAGGGCACCAGGCGTGCCCAAAGTTTGCTAATCACTGACCCCTACGTTATACATGAGAGGGGCGGATGTATTTCAGAGAGATTATGAAGGAGTTACTCAGTGTAAATCCTTCCAAGGTTTTCCCTGATTTTCTCTTCTCATTCATACAACTCAGGGCTATTTTAAGGGGAAAAAAATAATAATACATACTGTAACTGCTCACAAACTCAAGAAAACGAACAGTAACACTGGGTAAAGGAAAATGCAGCCTCTGACTCAGGGGTCTGCTATTTCTGTTGACTTGAGGGCTCTGCCAAGTTTCATGTGATGTTATTATTATTATTTATTCCCCATGCTGGCTGGGGAATTCTGGGAGTTGAAGTCCACCATGCTGGCTAGAGAATTCTGGGAGCTGAAGCCCACCCATCTTAAAAGTTGCCAAGGTTGAAAAACATTGTTTTCAGGGCTGAAATTGGTGTCTTATATGGTACATTTGCAAAGCTTAAGGACCTCATTTTGCCCTTTCAAAATGTACATTAAAAAAAAAGGTCCAAATGTTTGTCTGCCCACGCTCTTGGGAGGGGGAGAATAAAGATGCTTACAGACCACATGTTTTTTTGCACCCCGGTCTACTCCACGGTTGTGCTTCCTAGCAGCAAACTCTTAGATGCCTGTGAGAACCACTGCAGCAAAGCATAATCTTCTCACAACCCACTTAACCTGGTTGCTGAAATAATCCATTTGCCCTGTCCACAACAGACTTTGTACCTAAATATGGCAAAAAAGCTGCTTTTTTGTCCCGCCAGCGAAGCCACAAAACCTCACCCACGTTAATGCTAACCACATATCCCAGGTGGTGCAAATGCCATCACTCACTTTTGCAACTGACCTGGTTCAGTGTGTTGCATGAACCCAGCCACAGGCTCCGAACAGGGAAGACCCATTCTTAGAATAAGGATTGTGAAGTGGTGAACTGGCCAAGCCATGAACCCGTGAAACACTGTTCTTCAGTTTGTGGGTTGGGTCCGGATCCCAGGTGACCGACTGGCCTAGAGAAGTGGGGTTTCTAGCTCAGCTCGGGACCCGGGGTTGGAAGTCCCTCTCTATAAATCACAGGGTGGGAAATGCAGGTTGGCGACAATCTTCATCCACACAACCCCCCAGACCCAGATGATGGGCCAGATGCCATCAGGGGGCAGAGAAGTCAAGAGAGAAGCCCCCCCCACCTCCACAAGCCAAACGACCCACTTTAGCACTAACCTCAAAGCTGCAGGCCTGGGTTCCCCAATCCTTGTAATAAACAAGAACTGAACCCTGCATTATAAGCTAAACCACAGGAAGAGGAAAGGAGCTAAAAATCATATTCCAATGGTGATACCATTACCAATTCCTGATTTTTTTTAGCACACTCCCCAGCTACCCAAAATCTATCCTCCATCTGCTGCTGACTTATACTCCAACAGACGTTGGAGGCTCTAAGCACCATCACCCCCAATTTGGGGTCTTCTGTAAAGCCCATCATCCCCAGGACATCAGGATGGGAAATCGTGGCCTATCGCATCCCGATGTAAGGAGGAGGGCTTATAACGAAGCCACAGCACTCCTTGGCTGACCAAGAAATAATGCAAGATCAGCTTCCTACAACGACAGCCACATTCATTCAAAAAACTGCTGCTTCTCTGCATTAAAATAGACATTCTCTTTCCAAATCTGGATGATGGTAGGGGACTCTAAAGTCAATTCAACTGAAAGCAAAATAAAAGCCCTCCCACTCGCCCTTTATTTCATGTAATGGAGCATCTTTAGATTTTTAATTGCATGGTCGATCCTTTCCTTGTTTCAGAACAGTGGCTCTGTGCAAATTCCTTTTCCTAGAGCATATGTATTCTGTTTGTATTCTGGTTTTTTACGGTATTTATTAATGTGGTTTTTTACATTCCTTCTGCTGTTTTTATCTTTTTATCTGATTGTTGTACGCTGCCCAGAGGTGCTTTGGGGAGATGGGCAGCTATATAAATTTGCTTAATGAAAACAGATAAATAAAATAAACATGTTCATTTGAAGCCAAAGCTCAACCAGTATTTGTATGAAACCAAAGCACCCCTTTTAAGAGAATTAGGTTGGTGGATGGCTTAAAGCTTAAGGGAGTTTTAAGATAATGAGGTTGGGAAGTAAACAGACATGGCTGGGATGGAAGGAGGCTGAGAAAAAATAGAAGAAAAGGATTTTCAAAGCACACAAGCGAATTGGAAAAGTGCTTCAAAGCCTCTTCCAAACATCCAGGCAAATACAGCTGCCTTTTTGTCCTGGATCCTTGACTGATCCTGGCAGGAGGTGTGAAAAACGGCCGGGGAGGTCAAGATAATAAAGCTATCACCTTTCTCCTGCAAGGAAAACATCTGTCTCCAGAATGCCCTCTCCCAGCTGAGCCACGTACATATGGAAAAACCTAAGATGGAAGAGAAAGTACGTAGCCCAGGGTTGAAGCGTTGAAGCGCCGGGCTGCAAGAATTCTTGAGCTCCATTTGTCATTGGCAGATATTTCATGCTGTGATCTTAGGTGCTACCTAAAGAAACGTCTGCATGTGAATGACCAAGCTGAGAGGTCTCCTCCAAGCTAAGAGAAAAGCTCTCCGCAGCTATAGCTAAAAAGAAAGCGGACTTATGTCAAAGCGTGTCCATCGCCTACCCCAAAGATGGGCAGCCACAAGCCACGTACGGCTTCTGAAGCCACTCACCCAACTGTATATCTGAAACGGTGGTAAAATGGTGGATTTCAACATGGTGGTGATTTTCCCCTCCTTGTACAAAAAATCAACAGCACAAAAGTAGAACAGTTCCCATAGGCTGAAAGCTTTACTCTTCATGGAGAAGAACCCCACTTGTCAGCCCTGAGTCTTCGGGGTCATCCCTGCACAGAATCCTTGGGGATCTTTCACTCACTTTCAATCTCTGAGTGGATCCCCCACCACGAGACAGTCAATATACAGCAGAAAGCAGCGCTCAATCAAGCGGAGGAGGAAGCCAACAGAATGAAAGGAGGCCTACCTACCATGGGTGCTCCGCGGTGGCCAAGAATAGCAGGCCTGGGCCCGAGGTCCTGTCTTTCCATGATGCATGGGGAAGAGATCGTGAGGGGCACCAGGTAAAGCACAAGAACAACTGCAAAGTAGGTCCCGAACATCAGCAGCTGGGAAGCTGGAGGGAGAAACATGGGAGACACCAAAGAGTGAGAGGATGAAACTTATCTCCAAGAACTGGAGCTCTTTCACAAAGAGGAACAAGCCACTCAGTCCTTACCTGGGCATGCAACAACCTTCCTGGGTATTCTCCAGTTGCATGGACATCAAGTCCCAGAAATCATAGTTGTGACCATGTTAGCTGGAAATGTTGGGGAGTGGTCCACATCTCTCAAGGATGCCCAGGTTGGAGAAGGTTACCAGAAGAGGCACTCCATCTTGGATGCCTTGGAGAAGGACAACCTGCACCCTTTCCCACTCCCGGAAAAACCTTCTTCTCAATTTTTCCCATAACGCTGATTTTCTTCTCTTTCTTAGGAGAGACTCACCCACCAACCCACCTGCCCCACAATTCCCCCAAAGGCCCTTGGGTTTTCTTCTCATATGCTTCCAGTGTTCCCCCTGTCAACATGGATAATTTTCGGTACCTCTTCCTATCCAAGTCATCTCCGCATGTTTTCCCTTGCTAGGAAGAAAACTCTAATTCCAAATAATATCATTCTCCAGAAGTTGGAATTTTAGCAGGAATGCACGGACCTTATCTCTAATGCAAAATGCAAATGAGGGTGAATACCAGCACATAAATGTGCTACAACCCTTTTACTCCCAGCTTGCTGCTAAGATGTAGTTTGATCTTTTCTTGTGTGGCTGTTTTTATAATAATGGCATTTGCTGCTCTTTTCTGTTCGTGGCTGCATCTTTCTCACCCTACTTTTCCCACATTTGCTTCCTGACACTCAAAACTCCTCGGCTGCTGAATGCTTCCCATTCCAC